TTCTATGTTTTCGAGGTCGCTGATTGCGAATATGATGATCGTTTGTGCGAAATCGTGGGCAGTCTCTTTGTTTATAACAATGTAATTGTTTAAAACTGACTGGGGACTGGACACTGTAGGGGAAAATATTTCAAACAAAAAATGTTCCTTATCAAAAAGTGGACATATTTTGTCTTATAACATTTTCTCATAGCTGTCATGGTTGCAGAGATATCGCGGATGCAAGTCTAGCGAGCGGCGCGCTGGCACTATTGCGCGGCGGGAACGCGTTCCGGAGTCTTTTTTTAAAAAAATGGTTGGACGGAGACAAAAATGGTTAAAACAAAAGATGTTCATTACAAAAAAATACATCAGATCATTTTTTTGACTTTTTCAATTATTCCAAGTAATTTTCGAGATATTCAACGTTTTATGGGCGATGACGGGACAAATTCGCATTGCGTTGATCATTAAACTGTGATTATCTCGTTAACTACTAGGGATAGACCAAAATGTCTAATAACTGAAAAGATGAGTCATGAAATTACCAATATCTTTTGTTTCAACTTTTTTTCTCTAGCTTCATTCGTTCAACAAATAACTCTCTCTGTGAAATTCGTTCAACTCGTTACTCTGCTATTTGTTCGCTAACAATGTACAATCTAGCCAGAAAATCACGCGAAAAAATAAGCTCTCGGAAAACACGATCTTCACCCTCAGGAGTCTCAATGCAAACTGACGGTGAGTTCTTCANTGGCGGCACCGCGCTTCGGAGTCTTTTTAAGAAAAATGGTTGGACGGAGAAAAAAATGGTTGAAACAAAAGATGTTCATTACAAAAAAATACATCAGATCATTTTTTTGACTTTTTCAATTATTCCAAGTAATTTTCGAGATATTCAACGTTTTATGGGCGATGACGGGACAAATTCGCATTGCGTTGATCATTAAACTGTGATTATCTCGTTAACTACTAGGGATAGACCAAAATGTCTAATAACTGAAAAGATGAGTCATGAAATTACCAATATCTTTTGTTTCAACTTTTNTGAATAGACCGAAATGTCTATTAAATAACTAAATAACTCAAAAGATGAGTCATAAAATTACCAATATCTTTTGTTACAACTTTTTTTCTCTAGCTCCGTCCGTTCAGAAAATATTCCTGGCGCAAANCAACGCCACAAGACTGCGAAGCCGTTGTGCGACATATGATGGAGTTGAGGTGGACCGCCTGCTGTCCGCACGTGTTGCGTATACTATTTTATATGATAAGTNACTAGTTACGTAATGTACTATTTCGTGTCGCGGGACCCGGAAAACCCCATTTTCCCATTTTCAACCCCGCCACCAAATTGGCGTTTTGCAGGTCCCTCGATACGAAAATTAATGTACACACCTCGCCATGGAAAACATATCACCCTCCACCACGTGCTTGCCATCCTTGCCTTCGGCTCGGAAGGCAATCTTACACGTGGGGAACGGTGATCTGTTTTCCACTGCCTTACAGCGGAATGACAAAATAGTATATTTCGTCATTAGGCCGAAAAAAACATCTGGCGAATTTATGGTTGCAATCATATGGGCTAGAAAATTTTTTTCCGTACTGCTCTTCATTTTTCCTCGTCTGGGGATTGGTATTAGCCCTTCCCCAAACTCGTAAAAGTGAAAATCACTACAGAAAAATATCGTTCACGACTAGTGCCATGGGTTTTTTTACTCGCGTGGATGCCCCTTCCGAGACGAAGGCGAGGCGAACTCCACGCGAGTAAAAAACCCCATGGCACTCGTCCTGAAATATACTCTTAAAATTACTTAGTAGCAATTTTTGTTTTTCCCTGTACATTTCCTAGCTAAACACTTTCTCCCTGAAAAATAGTCAGTGAGAAAATACCGAATGAGGAAAAACTCGTGAAGTTCTAAACTGAACAAATCTTCGAAATGAAAATGTTTGTAATTTGTCAATTCCATTTCATCACAAAGTTCACTAAAATATCTAAAATAATCATTTGTTAATGAATAAACAATAAAATATGAAAACACTCCATAATTGGAAAAAAAATCAGAGAAGTAAAATCTGTAAGAAAATTGAAAATTCCATTGAATCCAACTGAAATTTACTCTCATAATTCAAAGATGGTTCGTTATCCGCTAAATTCCCATTGGTTCACTTCGGCGCTCTCGACCAAACAAACGGCCCGATAAAGACCGGGTATAAAGACGAAAAGAATAATTCTCACCTGCTGTCGTCACCGAAGAATTAAATAAAAAAATTCCTAAACTCACCCCAAGTGCAACGAAACATCCCAGCAGCACATACCGCTGGCAGGAGCAGTGGAGAGCCATCGTGGACTTATAAATAAATGCTATTCTCGCACTATTGCTGACGAGAACAGTCCCCACTTCACGAAACCACGTGAAATCACCAGGAAATTGATAATAAAAACTCTTTCTTCTTATAAAATGACAATTTATGAAGGATTGGGTACTGCATGATAGTTGATTCGACGAACTAAATGATTGTTTATCGCTCGCGTTTGAGTTTCACATTCATTCGCCCAAACAGGCATTCCACACTCTCTTCTCAGAATAAAAACAAGAGATCTGGCTTGGGACCTCGAATGTCACTGACACTCAGGGGCTCGCATATTAACTCGTAAAATAAAAACTTAAAAATTGTGTCAACAATCTAATTTTATCGGTTGAATTTATTCATTCGATATTTTATTTATATTTTTATTTCTATTCACTTTATTTCATTTATAAATACATTTTTTGTAGATTAGATTAGATTTTTATTTCTTCAAATGTATAGCTCAACGAGGCCTTTTACATTCCCACCGGTTACATGTTTATTTTTTCTTTTACCCTTTCATCTCTCATAGTCTACCCATTCTTTCATCTCTCTTCTTGTTATAATTTCATCCTTCCACTCCAAGTACTCTGCATACTCTATTTGTAACCACTACTAAATGTTCCTTAATATAGTATACATCTTTTTGGTATATGTCACATTTTTTCTATCACATTTTCACAATAATGATTACCTTATTCTACTGTAAACTTATGACTAATCCCCCTGCTCTGGTGCTGGTACACTATTGGCCAGTTTTTCAAATTCTTTCGCAAATTTGCATAAATTTGTCTTCAGTCTCCCCTCCAGAGTTTCCCTGAGCTTCTCTAATAAACGATCACCCGTCAGTCCCCCTCTCCAGATCTCCATTTCTTTCACGCAGCCTGCATCAATTTTCTCCCTTGCTTTTTCACATACCCACACGTGCTCAAAAGACTCCTCTTCAGTCCTACATATCCTGCACTTGAGGTCTTTGTACCCCTTGTTCCCAGATTTCCCAAGATTTCCACATCTCATCCTGGCCCACTGCTCTTTTTCCCAGTTCTGTATTTTCCTGCTTTCCCAATAATTCCATCCATTACTGGAGGGTACTCCCAGCCACTTATACTCCTCCCAGTATGAGGACTTCTTTATTTTTTCTGCGTCTCTTTCACAGTCCAGTCTGCGTTTCTCGTCTATCATTTCATCCATGAGCTTTTCCAACCTTGGGATTTCCTCCTCGTCCCATATCCGTTTCAGTAGTTCAGATCCCTGTACTTCTTCCAGAGCTTCCTTGATGGCTATTCCCAGTTTTGTTGGGTTGCCATTTAGTATGCCTCTGACCTCCTCCCTAAGACATATTCTGGGCCACCTATCCTCCGACATTCTCAGTATGTCTGTGATGTATCTATGTGTCCTCCTCCTTGTCTCTACCTCCAGGCTTCTTCGGTCTGCTTCAGACTTCCATATGTAGTCCGGAGTATTCCTGGAGATTCCCATCACCATTTTTACGTATCTTCCCTGCATTCTCTCTATGATTTCACTCCTTGTCCACCCCCACACTTCTACCCCATAGATACATCCTGATTTCGCTAGAGTATCCAACAGATATAATCTCCGTTTCAACCCTCCCAGTCGCGACCTCTTCATTATACCCCATGCTGCATTTATTGCTCTCTGTGCCTTTGCTGCCAGTTTTTTTAAATGGTTGCCAAAAGTGCCCCTAGAGTTGAACCAAAAACCGAGGTACCTGAACTCATTGACAACTTCCACTTTCTCCCCATTCAACACCCAGTTATCCTCTTTTTTCAATCTGCCCCCTCCCCTAAATACCATAATCTTTGTTTTTTTAACATTGATTTCCAATTTGTTATCCAGCACGAATTTTTCCAGCGTCTTCAGCATGCACGTGAGACCCTCCGGTGTCTCCGATACCAAGGCAATATCATCTGCGAATTTAAGTATGAAAATCTTCTGGTTTCCTACCACAGTGCCTCCTTCGTTCCTCTCAATCAATTCGTCATCTATGTCATCAATAAAGAGGCAGAATAGAACTGGACTCAGCGGACATCCCTGTCTCACTCCCCCAAATGATTCGAACTCCTGTGTCGTGCCCCCTTCTGTAATTACCGTGTTCATAGTTTTTCCGTAGATACATCTGAGCATCCTGTGCATTCTACCTCTAACCCCTAGTTCCCATAGCTTTCCCAATAGCATGCCCCTGTCCACTAAATCGAAAGCTGCCCGGAAATCCACATATGCCACATATAGTTTCCCTCCTTTTTGTTTCAGTCTCTTTCCTATCAAGGTATTCAGTGTATATATGTGATCCCTTGTGCTGTGTTGGCCTCTGAAACCCGCCTGGCTCTCTCTCAAGCAGGAATNTGAATTTAAGTATGAAAATCTTCTGGTTTCCTACCACAGTGCCTCCTTCGTTCCTCTCAATCAATTCGTCGTCTATGTCATCAATAAAGAGGCAGAATAGAACTGGACTCAGCGGACATCCCTGTCTCACTCCCCCAAATGATTCGAACTCCTGTGTCGTGCCCCCTTCTGTAATTACCGTGTTCATAGTTTTTCCGTAGATACATCTGAGCATCCTGTGCATTCTACCTCTAACCCCTAGTTCCCATAGCTTTCCCAATAGCATGCCCCTGTCCACTAAATCGAAAGCTGCCCGGAAATCCACATATGCCACATATAGTTTCCCTCCTTTTTGTTTCAGTCTCTTTCCTATCAAGGTATTCAGTGTATATATGTGATCCCTTGTGCTGTGTTGGCCTCTGAAACCCGCCTGGCTCTCTCTCAAGCAGGAATTTTCTTCTGCCCACTTCGTGAGTCTTGTCGCCATGATCTTTGTCATTATTTTGTATCCGGTGTTTAGTAGGGAGATTCCCCTATAATTTTTAGCTTCATCTATCTCGCCAGCCTTGAATATAGGAAAGATCTGCGCTAGCTCCCATCCCTCAATCAATAGTCCTTCTTCCCATATCCCCCTAAATATTTGGAACATTTCTTGTCTCCACTCGGCTGGTAAGTTTTTGTAAAACGCTGCTGGGATGCCATCCTCCCCAGGAGCTTTGCCATTTTTCAGACTTCTCACTGCTCTACGAAACTCTATTTCCGTTATCCGCTTATTCAGTTCATTTGTTCGTTCCTCCCTCTCACTTGTGTCATTTTCTTCAGCATCTTCTTCGTTATGTAGCTCTTCCTCTCTCCACTGCTCCATCTCTGCTGTTCCATCTTTGTCATTATCTGTTCTCTCTCCTAGGAGGCTCTGGAAGTGTGTGACCCATTTGTCATCAGTTATCTCCCCTCTGATAACTGTCTTCCTAGGCCTGAACTTGTTGATGCTGTCCCAGTATTGTGACATCGTCTTGCTCTCCTCCACCTTCTGCCATTTTCTCTCCATCTTCTCCAGCGCTGTTTGCTTCATCAACATCTTGTAGTTCTTTCTCTCAGTTTTCCATGCTATCCTCTTTCTTATATTTGCTCTGTTCCTGTGGTGCACTTTCAGTGCCACAAAGACTCTTCTTTTTTGTATTTTACATTTTTTATCTAGGCCCGTGCCAAAAGGTTGTCCTCTACGTGGTTTAGAGATCATTTCCAGATCCTTTGCTGCAGACCATATACTCTCTGCAAGCTTCCGCCATCTCCTATTTAGTTCTGGCCCCCGCCCCCCGCCCGGTGGATCTTTTCCCTGGGAATACCGTTCATTGCTTATCTCATCCGTCTTCTCTCTGAATTTCTTTATCATCTTCTCTTTATATTTCTCGCATTTATCCCCCTCCCAATGAAGCTTTGGGGCCTCTGGCTTCTTTGTTTCCTCTGACCCTACCCTAGTGTTTCCCTCCTCTTGCGTTTTTCCCCGAAATCTCAACTGGAAAGCGACTGGCAGGTGATCTGATTCTACTCTTACTATTACTTTCAACTCATCTACTAACATTGGGTTTATATCCTCTTTAACCGCCACCATGTCCAGCACCGAGGCTCGTTCACTCTCTACATACGTTGTCTTTCCCTCCCTGTCCCCATTTACGGCCCCATTTAGTATGACTAGTCCATATTTTTCGCAAAATTCCAGCATTCTGGTCCCATCTCTATTCTCTACCTTATCCTCTGAACACCTCAGCCAGTTAATCCCACCCTCTTGATCCCCTCCTTCTGGGTCTATTTGCACACTCTGTTTTTCAGCTATATGTGCATTCCAATCCCCTGCTAATACTACCCCCTCACCTAAGTGGATGCCCTCTTCCACAAGTTTCCTCAGATTCTCTAGCATTGTACTGATTATTGACTTTAGTGTCGTTGTAAATAGAAACTAACCTCACCGGTGTTCCNCTTCCTCAGATTCTCTAGCATTGTACTGATTTTATTGACTTTAGTGTCGTTGTAAATAGAAACTAACCTCACCGGTGTTCCTTCAAAAGAGCTCAACCCTTTTACTAATAATCCGTGTTCCCACTCCATAATTTTAAGGTTTTTACCTAAATGTTTCTTGACACCAATCAGACTACCTCCCATTCCCCTCCCTCTTGAATGCTTTCTATCTGCTGGTTTAAGCTTCCAAATATAGCTATTATCTAGTTTACTTAATTCCCTAACTTCATTTTTTGCTTCTACCCAGGTTTCTTGTAATATTATTATGTCAAAGTCTCTGAGAAAGCCTATGGAGGATTGCACGTGTCTTATACCTGAGATGTTCCACGTTACCGCCTTCCAATGGATACTACCCGCGAAATGGCTGATTCCTCCGCTCTGCTTGCTCCTGTTGTCTTTTGGCGATCTCTCGTGGGTCTCGTGGTCTGTAGCTCTCCATCTTCCCCTCTCCTTCATTCCATTTCCACCACTCTCCATTTACAATGAGTCTCTGGTACCTTTCCTCAATGGTACAACCTTCACTCTTTGCTCGAGCAGCCTCGGCCTTCAGCCAGTTCTGTATTTCGTACTCTCTCCATGTTGGGTCCTCCTCAAGACCTATACCTCTTTCCACCAGGTCCTCCTTTCTCCTCAATATTCTTAA